TTTTTCTATTGGACAAGATTTCACCTATTTCATAAAAGATGCCGAGTATCCTTAGAATTTGTGCAGTTTACTCTTTCGTAATTTGCTATTGCACAAACTTTTCTTCACATTTACAACAAAGCTTCCATTACTTGAATATATATGAAACAACAAATATCGTGTATGTCATCATAATTCAGCCAAACAATGCATAATAGAACGACTCTATAGAGGATGTATGTAAATTTGATACTTGCAACCTTTGGGTTACTTGGACAGGCTCTTTTAGGCCACTGTTTGAGCTCTATTTTTTTTAAAATTCATTTTTCCAAAACTCATTTGCAACACCATTATTTCATGTAAAATAATTTTACATGTGAACTTAAAACTTTACCTTATTTTTTAACCACACACCTTATTTTTTATCCACACGTTCTCCAAAAAATCATCATTTCAAAATACATCTTTCCATGAAAATTGGACTCAAACAGGGTTAAATTTGTTATCGTAGCCCCAGTGTAATCTCCCACCATGATACCATCAAAGATTTGGGCATGATCATGTTCCTTCGCATCTACAATTTTTGCAAAACAGTTCTAAAAACATCCTTCCCTAGGCCTAAAATCCTGATTTAAATGTTGAGATATAGGCTAGTCCCTAATTTTCTTTCAAAAACCGAAAATTACTTCATATTATATTTTTTTCAATTTTTACTTTAATCTAATTATATATTTTTATAATTAATACTTTCAAACCATTTAGAATTCTCTAGGCCACTAAATTAGGATATTTGGGATTACCTTTGACAAATTATTGCTTAATCTCATGTATTTATTGTTCGTTAGGTAAAACTCGATAATTGAAATTGAAATTGGAAGAAAGGAACAAAAAAATTGACGAAAGAGGATGTTTCCAAAGTCTTGGACCAGATTGCAAATATTTAATAGTTGGCTCCAATCACAAAATGATGATTGAAGATTACGAAGAGTCAATTGGACATGAATAGAATGCTAAGGACTGAAATTAAACTGAAAAATGATCAAATTGACCTTGGAAGAAGTTCAAGGACCAACTTGCAATTGGTTCCAAAATTACAAAAATCATGCATGCACATGGGAGAATGTAATCTAAAGAGGATGAAAACGTTGTACCATGCGTGTGCATAACCTTCTGGCTAGACGAGATTTAGTTTCCTTTCCGATACAAATACTTTCTGGAAACCAACTTTTGACGAGTTACCAAAACCCGCAAAAATTTAGGATGATTTTGTTGAATTATTGATTGTTATGAATACATAAACCACAATAAATTAAATAAGTCAATAATTGAAAATAGGATAACATAATTTGGTGGATTCGGAATTCCAACACATTCATTTGTATATTTAGTTAAAAATAATCTTAGATAACTAGTAGAATAATTTAGATATAAAAATAAATCTCATTTATTAAATTTACATTCAAATTTGATGATGAATTAATACAATTAAATTCAAGATTTATTATTCGTGGAATGATACTCTATTCATTATGTTGCGTATCGTCATACTTGGCCAACCTACTTGGGCCAATGGCCCACTCAATCCGAACCATGTGGCACTTCAGCCGAGGCGATATATATTGCCAAGGTGGACTATGGCCAAAGCCCTTCAATCCGAGGCATGCCTACCGAACCGAGGCCTGTAATCGTAACCGAGGTCCACATGCTGAGGCCTATGAGCCGAAGCCATGATGCTGAAACTGGTTGAAGTTAGCTGAAGCCCTCAAATGGAAGTATTGTACGAAATGGCCGAAGCCTCGAAGCTGATGCGGGAGCCTCCAAACCACATGGGAGCATCCTCCATGATCACTTCTCCCAAGAGATCGTCTACACAAAGATCTCATTCGAATGATTGATGGAACGTTTGTCATAAGCATAAATGTCAAGTCTTGTCACTAGCATGGAGGCTCTGCACAAGCAATAAATGCGCAGCAAGCTAGTAAGTCAAGCCCCCTGCCTAGGATAAGATGTTTGAATCAAAGAGATGAGGCCACATGCCACCTCATCTAAGGGCTTCCATTTCACATGTATCACTATAAATACTTCCCTTGTGTAACATCAAAGGACTAATGCAAGAATCAATACAAAGAACTACACTTTACTCAACTCTTTCTCTCATTTACTTGCATACACAAATCGAGTTTATACACATTTAGATATACATTTATGAACACCGATTGGTAATTATTGTACAATCGGATCACGAACAACTTGCCGGATTCCGAACGTCACCGTCCCGCGTTGTTGGGCTACTTCCACGCCCTTTGAACTGCTCATTGTAGACTGACCACGTGTCTTAGCATGTTAGACATTCGCCCACATGTGTGTGGATGGGACCGGCATCTGTTGGCTACACTTTTTGGAGTCAACAGATTGGCGCCGTCTGTGGTAAAAGGTTACCGAAAGGACATTTGGGCAAACCCCTTTAAAAAGAATTTGTTCTTGGAAAAGAGCAGGAGGAAGCCCCATTACTTAGCGAAATCTGAAGTTTGACAAAAGAAAATGAGCTCCAATGAAGATACTCCCCCCAGGAGGGTAAGAGAAAACATGAACATGCCTCCTCAGCCCGCTGCCCCAGCAGCTCAGCAGAGACTCCACTGCCACCAAAGAAGAGGTGGGATGCATGTGACGATAAGATTATCAAGAGAAATGGCCGCCATGGCAGCCAACATGAGGGATATTGCTAGCCAAAATTTGGCTATAAGGGAGCTTATGGCCCGCCAGGGAGGCTTCCCCATTCCTCCATATGCCCCCCAAGGGCACTACTTGCAAGAGGATAAAGTTCAAAGTCATAGAGCTGCCACGCCAGACTATGGTCAAGGTGGAAGCCCATTTTGAAAGGGAAGTGGAAGTTGATGTTTCCTCCAACTACACTTCTGGCCAATCCATCGAGGTCCAAATGAGCCATAATAATTTCCCACCTCTATATGAAGATCCAAGACATAGGAGGGCAGGAAGTGTTTTTAACAGAATCAGCCCCGTCGAATCGAGGCTCAGGCAACAGCAGGCTCAATAGCCTTGGACAAGGCCGCCTCCTCCACCTACAATGCCCCAGCAGGCAGAGAGAAGGCATGAAAATGCCCCCCGTGTTGCTCTACCTAGAAATAGGCAATAGAGGAGGGAGGAAGAGGCTAGGGATCGCCCTAGGACCTCTCACCAACAACCAAGGCATGAGGCTGATGAGTACGACTCTGATGAACAGCAAAGGTCCTACGACTTGGACGATGACGATGAGAATCTACCATTCTCAAGGGAACTAAGGAATGCCCAGATCTCGAGCCACTATGTTATGCCAAAAATACCAAAGTATAACAGAAGAGGCGACTCGGAGAAGCATCTGAATGCTTATAAAACTCACATGAGCCTAAGGGGTGCCACCCCAACCGTGAAGTGCAGAGCCTTCCATTTAACGCTTAGTAGAGCAGTTGAAATTTGGTATAGCAGATTGCCACCTAGGAGCATTAGAAGCTGGCCCGAGTTCAAGACAACATTCTTAAAAAGGTTCGCGGTGAGCAAAGAAGGAGAAGCCCCCATCCAACGTCTCCAGGACATGAGGCAAGCACATGGGGAGTCCCTAAAGAGCTTCTTATTACGCTTCACTGATGAGATGACGTACTGCGTACAAGTCACGGATCGAGAGGCACTATTCGCATTAAGGGGAGGTCTGAACATGAATACCTTATTTTGGAGAGAAGTGCAGAATCATGACCCCACCACCTATGACGCCCTACTCGAAATGATGAGAAGGGAGATCATCAATGAAGAATTGATTTAGCATAGGAATAGGGCAAGTAGAGGCCTCCCACCTCCTCAAAAACAGTGCAGTAGAGGCCCGACCTCCCACCTGATGGGCTACCAAATGAACCAGGCCGAAAATGAGAACTCTGGTCAAGCACTTGCCACCACCACTTTGAATGCGTTCTCACCTTGGCATATGAAGATGTTAACCCAATTACTGACCCCCATCAGATGGAGGCCCAGGAGATACCCCGTCGGGGAAGAGGTCGAGGTCGAGGTTCTGGACCTAGAAATAGGTCAAATCTGAATCCCCTAGGATACTGTGTACATCACAGGTCCTACGGGGATGACACAGTGGATTGTAGAGACTATGCACAATGTTTCCGACAGGAACCCGTGAGAGACAGACATGATTCGTCCCAGGCGAACAGGCCCCCGCCTAGGCACGACAACCGACGTGGGCATGAGGAGGCCACTCTTCGTCAAAGGAATGTATCCCCACGACGAAGGGAGCATGATGCAGAGAGGCCCAGGGAAGGACGTAGGCACCAAAGAAATCAGCAAGCTAGAGATGAAGCCCCTATCTACGAAGTGGGTACCATATTTGGAGGTCCGTATGTTGGCGGTGAAACACGAAACGCCAAAAGGAACTATGCTCGGGAGGCTAAACACCCCCTTTGACAAGCTACATTGTGGGTAGCAGCTCCCGAAGAAACTAGGTTCCACCCATTGTCTTTTCCCAGGAAGACGTCGAGGGAGTTCATTACCCCCATTGCGATGTACTTGTGGTGAGGGCTGTCATAGCCAGGAATGGGCTCAAATGAATGTTAGTTGACAATGGCAGCTCCGTCAACATTCTTTTCGGATTTACCTTTGACAAAATGATATTGGATCATCAGCTGATGCCCACCACCACTCCATTGTATGGATTTACCGGAGATAGCATCACTCTGAAGGGAAAGATAACACTTGCAGTAGAGATGGGAGAATCTCCACGAACAACGATGAACTTCATGGAGTTCCTCATTGTCGATAGCCGATCGGCCTACCATGGAGTGCTGGGCAGATCAACCCTAAAGGAACTGGGAGCAGTCACCTCCATCCACCACCTATGCATGAAATTCCCAACAGAAAATAGGGTGGCAACGGTGAGAGATGACCAAAGAGGCTCGAGAGAATGCTATCTAAACTCCATCAAGAAGGTAGAGCCCCGGGACATCCATGTAACCATAACTGACGTGGTCATGGCTGACATCCTAGGTGATCCTCCCATCGAACAAGATATTGATATGATCGATGCACCACCTAATTCGGAGATGCTGGTCATCGATGAGATTGACCCCGCCATCATGGAACACGAGCCTCGAGCATCCCCAGTAGAGGAACTTGAGAGCTTCTCCGTAGACCTCCGAGACCCATCAAAGGTGCTGAAGGTAGGCAAATGCCTATCCAACATTCTGAAGGAAAAGATTAAGGATTTCCTGAGCAAGAATCTTGATGTCTTTGCCTGGAAGCATGAGGACATGGTAGGTATAGACCCCAAGGTCAGCTGTCATCACCTAAAAATTGATCCTAAGGTTGCCCCACATAGACAAAAAAGGAGAGCCCTCAATCCTGAGAGGTATGAGGCCCTAAAGGAAGAAATTCAGAAGCTTATCCAAAATGCCTTCATCAGGGAGGCAACCTACCCGAAGTGGGTCTCCAACCCGATTTTGGTAAAAAAGCACAATGGCAAGTGGAGGATGTGCATCGACTTCACCAACCTCAATAGAGCTTGCCCAAAGATAGCTTTCTACTCCCAAGGATTGACCAACTAGTAGACTCCAGGGCTGGGCATGAGTTGTTGAGTTTCATGGGTGCGTACTCCGGCTACAACCAAATCCCCATGCACCCGGCCGATGAAGAGCACACCTCTTTCATCACGGACCGAGGCCGCTATTGTTATAGAATGATGCCCTTCGGGTTGAAAAATGCCAAAGCAACCTACCAAAGACTCGTAAACAAGATGTTTATGGACCTCATTGGCAAAACAATGGAGATCTACATAGACGACATGCTAGTAAAAAGTTTAGAGGCCGAGGATCACATGGCGCACCTCAATAGCACTTTCCAAATCCTAAGAAGGAATAGGATGAGACAAAACCCCCTCAAGTGCACCTTTAGGATAGCTTCCGACAAATTCTTGGGGTATATGGTCAACCAATGAGGAATTGAGGCCAACCCTAAAAAGATTGAGGCTCTATGCAAAATGAGGTCCCCCCAAAAGCCAAAGGAGGTACAAAGTCTTACCGGGCGAGTTACCGTACTTAACCGCTTCGTTTCCAAAGCTATAGACAAATGCCTCCCATTTTTCAAAGTACTGAAGGCTGGGAAGAAATTCCAGTGGACTGAGGAATGTGAAAAGGCCTTCCAATGCTTGAAAAGGCACTTGGGGCAAGCCCCCCTCCTCTCCAAACCTAAGCCCGATGATATCCTACAACTATATTTGGCCATCTCCAATGAGGCCATCAGCTCGATTCTGATACGGGAAGAAGGGTCTACCTAACTTCTCGTATACTACACAAGTAAAGCGCTCTTATCACTGGAAACCCGTTACCCCGATATGGAGAAGTTCGCTTTGGCTTTGATCGCGGCCTCTAGGAAATTGAGACCCTACTTCCAAGCTCACACCATCCATATACTGACAAATTTTTCCCTCAGGCAGGTACTCTAAAAGCCCGATGCCTTAGGAAGGTTATTGAAATGGGCGGTGGAACTCAGTGAATTTGACCTTGTGTTCAAGGCTAGGGCAGCCATAAAAGAGCAAGCCTTAGCTGACTTTGTGGCTGAATTCGCCAACCTACCCGAGGTGGATGAAATCATGGAACCTGCCGAACCCCCCATGTGGAATCTTTTCGTTGATGGATCGGCTGGGCATGTTGGCTCCGGTGTTGGGGTTGTCCTCATCAACCCCGAAGTTCACAAACTCACCTCGATAGTGAGGTTCGGATTCAAAGCTACCAGTAACGCAGCAGAATATGAGGCACTTCTTCCGGGCCTCAGGCTAGCCACCAAAGTGCAAGTGAAGAGGCTACTCATCAGTAGTGACTCCCAGCTGGTTGTTAGTCAGGTCAATGGTAACTTCTCAGCTAAAGACAAAACGATGGCCTCCTATCTGAAAATGGTGATGAACCTCATCCCATCCTTCGAAAAGTTTGAGTTGATCCAGATCCCCCGCATCAAAAATGCGCATGCGGATGCACTCTCGAAGCTTGCTAGCAGCAAGGACTCAGAGCTACTCACAGTAGTACCTATTGAGCACCTTCTCCTACCTTCGATCGAGGCCCCAACTGTAATGTAGATTGCTGGGACTCCCACTTGGATGTAGCCAATCATAGCATACCTCAAAGACCAAGTACTGTCAACTAACAAGAATGAGGCTTACAAGCTAAGAAGGAGGTCAGCTCACTTCCTCTTCATTGATGACATTCTCTACAAGAGGAGCTTCTCGTCCCCACTCCAACGGTGCGTTGGAAGAGAAGAGGCTACCTACATATTGAGGAAAATCCACGAGGGCGTGTGCGGCAACCACTCTGGAGGTGTATCTCTAGCACAAAAAATATTGAGGCAGGGGTACTATTGGCCTACCCTAAAGCGGGACGCCCTCGAGTTTGTTCAAAAATGCGATAAATGCCAGCGCTTCTCTCCAGTGCAGAGACAACCATCGCAGGATTTGATCACCGTCTCTAGTCCTTGGCCTCTCTCAAAATGGGGTGTGGATCTCATAGGTCCCCTACCTAAAGGTAGAGGAGGGGCAAGTTTTGCATTTGTGTCTATTGATTACTTCACAAAGTGGGTCAAAGCCGAACCACTAGCAAAAATCACTGAAGCCAACATCTCCAAGTTTTTATGGAAAAATATTATTTGCCGGTTCAGAATTCTCCACTCAATTGTCTCAGACAATGGCAGACAGTTTGACAACAAGAAGGTTAGAGAATTATGCGAAGAGCTCGGCATAAAGAAGTACTTCTCCACACCTCACCATCCACAAGCAAATGGCCAAGTTGAGGCCGTGAACAAGACGATCAAGCACATTTTGAAAAGGAAGCTTGATGTATCAAAAAGGGCTTGGGTTGATGAGCTACCCCAAGTCCTTTGGGCGATCCGAACCACCACTAGGACCCCAACAGGAGAAATGCCCTTCCTCATGGCATTTGAAACTGAGGCGATGAGCCCCGTGGAGGTCGGACTTCCATCCCCAAGACGTCTGCACTTCAGCGAGATAACTAACGATGAGCTTCGGAGGCTCGACCTCGACTTCATCGACGAAAGAAGAGATGACGCCCAATTGAATCTCGGCACATATCAAAGAAAGATGACAAGGTACTTCAACTCGAAAGTCAAGAAGAGGTCATTCCGAATCAATGACCTTGTACTCAAGAGGGTATTCCAATCCTCAAAAGAGCTCGGTTCTAGTTCCCTAGGCCTGAAATGGGAAGGTCCATACAAAATCAAAGAAGAGGTTTGACCTGGGACTTACTGGATTGAAGACATGAACGGCAAGGTACAACCTCGTCCATGGAACATTGAACACCTCAAAATCTATTACTAATAAATGTACTATCTTGCTAGACGACCTTTCCCAGCCTTTGTAACATTTCTATTGTTCAATAAAATTCAGTGATTAAATTAACGTGTTGTACTACCTCGACACCTCGGAGGAGAGGTTCGCGTCCCACCTCTGGACCAACTTGAACTCCGAGGCGCTAGCACATGCCTCCCTTTAGCCAGACAAAATACCAAGGGGAGAAGCCTTAACATGGCTGCATCATCCACCATCTCTGGGATGCATCATCACTTCGGAGGAGAGGCTCACGTCCCACCTCTGGGTCACTTCACTTGAACTCCGAGGCACTAGCACATGCCTCCCTTTGGCCAGACAAAATACCAAGGGGAGAAGCCTCAACATGCCTGCACCATCCACCATGTCTGGGATGCATCGTCACCTCGGAGGAGAGGCTCGCCTTGTCCACCTCGCTTGAACTCCGAGGCGTTAACACGTGCCTCTTTGGCCAGGCTGAATGCCAATGAGAGAGACTACCTCACGTGCAATTGAGGCTCACTTAAGTCTAAGGCTCATTCAGTGTTCATTTGCTTAAATCCGAGGCTCATTCAGTTGTTCATTCGCTTAATTCCGAGGGTCATTCAGTTCATTCGTGTTCACTCACTTAAGTTCGAGGCTCATTCAGTTGTTCATTCGCTTAAGTCCAATGCTCATTCAGTTGTTCATTCACGTAAGTCCAAGGCTCATACAATTATTAAGCTTAAGTAAAGTTCATATGCTTAAGTCCGAGGTTCGTACAGTCATTCAATCCAGTTGTTTAAAGTAATTGAAGTTAAGGTACCAAGTTAGAGTTATTTAGTTGGTGCTTTTGCCAACCTTTAAGTTCATTTACTTAACAAGGCGCGTACACTTTGATAAAGAAACAACAATGAATGAAATAGGCATTATATTGATCTTCAATAAGGATTACAAAAGTGGGCCTCAGGCCATTACATTCGAAAAAACTGAAAAGAAAACTAATCTAAGCTTGGGTAGATGGGGGAGGTGCTTCTATACTTGGGGCTTCGGCAGCTTGAGCATTGGTATTTGTCTCCCCTACCTCAGCTGCTTCATTACCCTGCACCTCCTCAGTAGGGGTTTGAGGTACCTCATCCACAAATTCAGACCTGAGTTGAGTCAGATCCAAATTGGGATACAATTCCTCTGCCCGCTCCATCACCTCAACATAGGCAAAGTTTCTCCAGTAAGCACTGAAGCTCTTATACTCCTCTGTGTTATGGAAGTTGGCAATGTACTCCTGCACCGCCTCTTTTCTCGCCTGTTGAGCCTCCTCTTTGGTGTGGGATGCATCATCCACGTACCACTTGATTTGGGTTTCCAAGAAATGGTAAGCTTCTTGGGCATCGGTCAAAGAGAGATTTGCCTTCTCCAGGGCCTCGGCAGTCACTTTCTAGTGCTCATTGGAGACCTCCACCTTCTTTGTAAGGGAGGCCATCTCACACTATGACTCATGGACTTCCTTCTTCAAGGCCTCAATCTGGGCCAAGGCAGCCACCAGCTTGGCCATTTCTTCAAGTTTTTAGGCCCTGGCTTCTTTCGCCTCGACCCTAGCTGCCTTCAACTCCTCTGCAAAGGAGGTCGTCTTCTCCTCCGAAAATTGGGTCCTTGTCTGAAAATCACTCAGGGCCTCCCTGCATTCAAGAGCGAGGCCAAAAGTTCTGACTCTTTGGCTCACCAAAGCCCTCGTCAAGTCGGTGGCATCACAAGAGGAGGCATGCAGCTGCCACCTGTCCATCCAAAACTGGTAAAAGTTCTCTGTGGCGCTCCGGACCTCCTGGGAAAGAGCCTCCACCAAGGCTGGAGCCAAGGTCTCCTCCCTTCCGGCTAGGAAGCTTGGAGACTTCCCATTTTCCCGAACAGGTTTCTGTTTAGCTACCTCCTCCTCGGCAGCCTCAACAGCCCTCCTCGCAGCCTCTTCAGCCTCAGTCTCTCTGACCATTTCTAACTTGATGGCTTTGGAGGGGGATGCGAGCAGTTTCTTCTCACCTATTGATTTGGCCTCATGGGACACTGATGTCCCAAATTTCCCGGACGAGCTGGTAACGTGCACCAGCTTCCTCCTCTTCGCCTGCTCTGGGACTTTTTCTTTCCCCCGAGTCTCTTTTGGCCTCTTCTGCCTCTGGGGAGCTCCCTCTTCGGATGCCTTTGGAGTACTGTCCTTGGAAAGGCATTCCACCCTGACTCGGACCTCCTTGACCCCACTAGACCCCAACTTCAAGGCCCTAGCCTTGACGGTGGTGGTGGCCTTCAGAATTGTAGCCATGTCTGGAGCTGGATACTCCCTCCTCTTGAATTTATCTGCATAAGCACGTCAGGTCAGCACATCAGTATCCAATCAAAAGGACAAGGAAATTTACAACTATAGGAGCCTCGTACCTCTGGAAGCCATCAGTCCAAAATCCAGGAAGTAGCGACTCCTGTAGATCAGATGGTCAAAGTGGCGGAGCTTCAGAGGCCTCTTGTAAATGTCCTCATCACCTTGAACTCTTCTCTACTGAGCTCGAACCTCGTACTACAATCTGCAATGAAAGCCCCAACAGTTAGAAATTTTCTAAGTGTTCAATTCAGAAGTACAAGTAGGGGCTAGGAGACTCACGAGCTTTGTAGTACTGGGTCGGTACTGTGCAAGAAAGGACCTTGTCTCCCTCCACTGCCTGCCATTTTCCCCGCACCCAGAACTAGGACTCCTTCCACCCCTTAATGGAGGAAGGCAGTCCCACCACAAAGGGTGCGTGAGCCCCCCAAGTTGTAAGGTAATACCACCCCCGGACTCCTTCCCCATGATCCGAAGCTGAAAAAGGGTCATGAATGCATGGAGAGGCATGTCCTTTCCAAGTGATACCTCCTTCCACAGGAAGTACGAGCCGACCAACTGGCTCCACCCATTTGGCAGAACTTGGGTCGGCGACAACATAAAGTTCCTCAGCACCGCCCTAAAGAAGGGGTGCAGAGGAAGACGCATACCTGCCTTAAACAAGTATTCACTGACTGCCACGTATCCAGGCCTCGGATAGTAGGCACGCTCATTTGGCTCGTGTACTAGCATTTCTATGGTGTGGGGAATACTGTATCTCTCCCTGATCTTCCCTAACCTTTTCCACGTCATACTTGAGGGCACCCTAGATGTCCCCCACTCTTCAGTATAATCTACTGGGTCCTCGGTCATGGCATAACTATCAACCTCGGCATCCCCCCTCTGACTGACCCCATAATCTAACGATGCTACAATCACCAGCTCCCTACCCGAGGTGGACTCCATTTCACAGATTAACACAACAAAAAGGGCTTTTCTACGAATAATACCTAAGGGAAGAACACTACGCGAACGGAGATAGGCGGAAAAATCAAAGAACATGCAGCCTAGATGCCGAAAAATTCGAGATTTTGAGAGATAATCAAATTACAAATTTTCAAAAGTCCTAAAAAAATGGGATTTTCTTACCTTTTATAGAGGTCCAGGACGAACCAAGTCGTCAGATCGAAACTCACTCAATCTGAACCCTCCATTGTAGATTAAATTTGAGGCGTTGAATTCAAACGATTTTTCAAACCTACGCCTCAGATTCAAGCGTGCCTCCCACGCATCCCATCCAACGCGTCTGCTTCTAGAACCTCCATCTATCCTCATAATTGTGTTTTTAATTCGACAGCAGCAGGCGCCTTGGAAGTCATACGGGTCAGTCGCTTTTCCTCGAAAACAAGCACAAAACATCAAATCATTGGCGCAGCTATCAACGCACAATCATTCCCATCGAACCTCGACTTCATCTTCAATGATCAGCCTACAAGCCTCTCTGGTTCAGTTTCCCAACCACCTCAGCTTCAACTTCAACATTCAGCCTACAAGCCTTGTAGGTTCGAATTCCCAACTACCTCGACTTCAACTTCAACGATCGGCCTACAAGCCTCGCAGGTTCGAATTCCCAACTACCTCAGCCTCAACTTCAACGATCAGCCTACAAGCCTCGCAGGTTCGATTTCCTAAACTACCTCGACTTCCTCCTCAACACAGCCTCGGTCTCTTCATCATTCGCTTACAGCAGCACATCTCTAACTCCAGCCATGACATAAATATCTATACTTGGACTTGGGGGACTATTGTTACGTATCGTCATATTTGGCCAACCTACCTGGGCCAATGGCCCACTCAGTCTGAACCACATGGCACTCCAGCCGAGGCGGTATATATTGTCGAGGTGGACTATGGCCCAATCCCTTCAATCCGAGGCATGCCCACCGAACCGAGGCCTGTAATCATAACCAAGGTCCAGATGCTGAGGCCTATGAGCTAAAGCCATGACGCTGAAACTGGTTGAAGTTAGCTGAAGCCCTCAAGTGGAAGTATTGTATGAAATGGCCGAAGCCCCGAAGCTGATGCAGGAGCCTCTGAACCACATGGGAGCATCCTCCATGGTCACTTTTCCCAAGAGATCGTCTACACAAAGATCTTATTCGAATGATTGATGGAACGTTTGTCATAAGCATAAAGGTCAAGTCTTATCATTAGCATAGAGGCTCTGCACAAGCAATAAATGCGCAGCAAGCTAGCAAGTCAAGCCTCCTGCCTAGGATAAGATGTTTGAATCAAAGAGATGAGGCCACGTGCCACCTTATCCAAGGGCTCCCATTTCACATGTATCACTATAAATACTTCCCTTGTGTAACATCAAAGGACTAATGCAAGAATCAATACAAAGAACTACAATTTACTCAACTCTCTCTCTCATTTAGTTGTAATACACAAATTGAGTTTATACACATTTAGATATACATTTACGAACACCGGTTGGTAATTATTGTACAATCGGATCACGAATAACCTGTCGGATTCCGAATTTCACCGTCCCGCGTCGTTGGGCTACTCCCAAGCCCTTTGAACCGCTTGTTGTAGACTGTCCACGTGTCTTAGCGGGTGGGACCAGCATCTGTTGGCTACACTTTTTAGGGTCAACACATTATATTATTATTTGTCAACGATCTCGTACGCTTGCAGGTTTTGCAAGATCATTACACAATTCAACATCACATCCTAAACCACCACCGTTGGAGCCACTGCCACCATCAAAATACACAAAAACCACCGCATCCCATTACCACTATAATTTGGATCTGAATCTGGTATTATGGGCCCATGACCATAGAAAACATCAACAGATTCACATCATCGCTATTCTCTACCAATACGACCCATCGCCCTGCTAGATATGGATCTGGTATTTGAGATTCTATAGATAGTTCAATCGTGGAAGTGAGATTTCAAGTTGTCAGGGGGTTCTTGTCTTGTTTAGGAAAGTAGTATCGCGATGTGATATGGAGGAGAATAGGGAGAGTTGCGGTGGTGTAAGGGCCCTAAGACGGAAATGCAAGGGAGGAGAAAGAACACAGCTGGATTTATTTTTCTTGGAAATATAGTTCTTTAAAGATGGTAGCTGATGGTGTAAGGTAGATTTAGGTGAGATGACTCGAAGTGTAGATCTGGTTGTTGCAAACAATAACGATGTGCTGCTCGATTAGTTTGTGGGAGTGAATTTTTAGAAAGGCTATGGTCACATCTATGGTTTGTAGTTGAAGAAAGAAACACTTTATTAAGCCCTTGTTTTAGCCCTATTTTTTTCAAACACACTTTTTCCAATAAAACAATATTACTCGTAAATCATTTTTTTTAACCTCATATAAAAAAAAATAACTATTTGGCAACACATTTCCCC